GCTCCTAGGTCGATGCTCAACCGCTGAGCCACACCTGGCCGGGCACCCCATTTGCACCATCACCATGACCCCTTTCCCAGTGGCACAGGAGCCCAGACGGGCCGGGTGGCACCCGCGGCTTCCATCTCGAGGACGCTCCCACTTTATTCTCTGGTCACAGCCCCCCTCTGTTGGTTACTAAAATCTCCCAACCAGGACAGCGGGCCCAGGGGCACACTTCTGAAAACGGCTCCTGAGCTCCGATCACAGGAGGTGTGGCCCCGACTTGGGGGAACTGGCGCTGCTGACTAGCTCCTGGGGCCATTTCCTGCAGGACACACGACAGTCTTGCAGGGGTCCCCTCCCTGACCGTGGCCAGGCCATTTCCGAGCCACGTTCGCTGTGCCGAGGGGACTGGCACGGGGCCTGCTTCCGCTGCCCACGTGGTTTCACCCGAGCAACCGGCGCATCCCGGTCTCCAGGCTCCTCAGCACAGGGGCCCAGGGGCGGGGCCCTGAGGCGACAGCGGCCCCCCCTGTGGCTTCTGCACCTGGGGACGGACCTAAGAAAAGAAAACTAATGGCGCCCACGGCCGAGGAGCTGCTTGTGGGGCAAACACCTGCGCCGTTGGCCCCGATTCAGAGCATCCGGTCCCCGGGCCGCAGCGTCTCCACCGGCTTCCAAGGCCCCTCCCCTCCCGGGGGCCAGCTTCAGGCTGAAGAACCGACTGGGGGCCGCGGGGACGAGGGTCGCTGGATGGCGGTGGCGGGTCCCCGCCCTGGCCGTCCCCGTGTCGTTTCGGAATGTGGGTTCCATCCGTGAGGACCGCCAGGCGGTGGGCGAGCGTCTGGCTGACCTGCAGATGGAAGCTTCTGTCCGTCTGGTGGGCGCCCGACGGCTTTGGCTTCCAGTCCCTGTCCTGGGAAATGCCTGCCGGCGTCTTTAGCCACTTTTATTTTATTTATTTTTCACTCCTCACCAGAGGGCATTTCTGTGAAGGGGTCTGGGGGTTCCCGAGAAGGGGCTCTGTAGGTGGGGTGAGCGCCGAAGGCGGCGGGCTCTGGGGCCCGCGGGTCCCTGCACAGCACCGTGGGCCTCGTCCAAGCAGTCGACGGGCTTCGGAGCAACAACGGAGAGCCCCCAAAACGAATAGACTGCAACGTAGAAACCCTACCTGAGTTTCCTATCAGCCCGCCTGCCCTGCGGGTTTCAGATTTACCCCGAAATTGCATGAACCAAATCCTTAAACTCTCCCCTCCCCGCCAATTGTCAACATAAGAAACGTACAAAACCTGTAAGAATTTTTGTGAGTTTATTTGACCCAAACTGCTGACACCTGCCGAGAAGCAGAATCTCAACGGGTTGAGAAAATGCTCCGGAGAGGGGCAGTTCTGCACCTTGTTTTATGCATTATAATCCAAAGAGGGGACGCAAGTGGGTTCCACGAAATCCATGGGTGACAGGTTAGGGAGGCGGGAGAAAGCAAAGCGGGAAAACCTCTGGGATTAGGTAGAAAAATGACAGACACTCACTTTTGCTCAGGTGGGTGCAGGAGAGTTAACAGCCAACAATTAACTCGGTAACAACGAGGGGATTCGTGGCCTCTGCTCTGGGGCTGCGGTTGTGCCCCGCGGGATCTGGAAAAAAAAGAAAATTACTTTGACATCCCAAAGGGTATATTATCAGGTATGTTATTATAGATGCAAAAAAAAAAAAAAAGACGGCAGGACAGGCTCAGATAAGACAAAGATGGGCCTTTGCCAGGGAAGATCCCAGCCTAGGACAGGACGACCCGCCATACACTGCTTTTTAGTTTAAAAAGTGTTCATTTCAGGCCCTCCTGCGTGGTGACTGCAGGTCTCTGCGTGTGCAAGGCCGCCCGCAGTGTGTGTGTGAAAAGGGGCCCCCCGGGTGAGCACATAAAACAAGGTGCTCACCCGACGAGCTCAGGGAGGCCTGCGGGAGGCCTCGCAAACTCAGAGACCTGCCGTCACCGCACGGGATGGTCTGAAACGAAAACTGTTTCCCTAAAAGCAGTTTATGGTGGGTCGTCCTGTCCTAGGCCGGGATCTCCCCTGACAAAGGCCCATCTTCACCTGAACTGAGCCTGTCTGTTGTCTTTTTGCATCTATGATAACATATTCCTGGAAAGTCAGAGTGATTTTCCTTTCTGCGGACCCCTCGGGGCACAGGCCGTGCTCGGCGGAGACCACAGATCCCCTCGTTATCGAGTTAATTGTTGGCTGTTAACTCTCCTGCACCCACCTGAGAAACAAGCGTGTCCATCACTTGACTTTCTATCGAGTCCCAGAGGCTTCCCCGCTTTGCTCTCTCCCGCCTCCCTCCTCTGTCACCCGCGGATTTCCTGTAACCCACTCACGTCTCCTCGATGGATTGTAAGGCATCAAACAAGGTGCAGACCTGCCCTTCTCGAGGGAATTATCTCAACCGGCTGAGGTTCTGCTCCCCAGCGTTTGTGGACAGTTCGGCTCAGACAAGCTCGCAGGAATCCTCTGCAGGTTTGAGTGTTTCTCACGTTGACATTTCCTTGGCGTAGTCGGCAGGATCCCAAAGAAGCTCCGCCGGCACCACCCCATGGACCCGGGCCCGGCGCCGGGATCCAGCAAAGGGCCCGCTGAGCCCGCCGGTTCCCCGCCCATCGGGGGAACTTGGGTGAGTTGTCTCTTGGATCCAGGACCTTCCTTTGCTTTTGGTATGAGGGTTGGACCTGATTTGAGCTGTATTTTTAAATCCTCCGGGTGGAACTAAGGTTAAGGGTTGAGAGAACCCTGTCAGGCGAAGGCGAGACGGGAGGGAAAAGTGGGTGGCTGGTTTTTAACTCTGGCGTTTCGATCGGAATCACTTACCGAGAGTCTGAGCCAAACCCTTCGCTGCGAAAATGAGACCTGAACTGGTTCGGCTCCAAAGATAAGGGGCACTTCCTCCCGCCAGCCCGAGTCCCGGGGGCGTTCTTAGGCACCTAAGGATATTTGTGGAGGTGTCAGGGGTCATTCCTCAGGACGTGTAGGGGCCCCCTAGGGAACCTGCAACTAAACTGTAATTAAACAATTGGCCCATCCGGGGACCCACACGTAGAGGTTGACCACCTAGCGCTCCGGGTCCTCACGGCTGTGTCGGACAGTGGGGAGAGAAACCGAGGCCGCGACAGGGTTGAGTGAGACTTGAGGGGCGACAGCCTCGTGGAGCTCAACCCCTTAAGCAGCACCCTCCGCCCACTACGTAACATGCCTAGGAAATTTGCTCACTCTGCAGATACCCAAGGAAAAACTAAAATTAACACGGGAAATTGTGTCTCCAGGACCGGAAAGCTCCCAGACCCCAGCCCTCATGAGTGCTCCTGATAGGAAGCCCGTGCTTGGCAAGCGCTGGACAGAAATGGGAAGATTTGACTAGAGGTGATACCAACTTACAATGGCCAAAACGCAATTGCCTTTGGGTGCCTAAATTAATTTTTTTGCATGCAAAACTTAGAAAAATGCCAGCTGTAAAATTAAAGTGAATGAACGAATGGGAGGCGTTTCTTGATTTGGGAATTAGAAGCTTCTAGGAGAAGCACAGATAAATTCTTTATTTTTAATTTTTATTTATTTATTTAAATATATCTTTATTGATTTCAGAGAGAGGAAGGGAGAGGGAGAGAGAAAGAGAAACATCAATGATGAGAGAGTCATTGATCGGCTGCCTCCTGTGTGCCCCCGACTGGGGGTCGAACCACAATCTCCTGGGTCCCAGGTCGATGCTCGGCCCCTGAGCCCCTCCACTGTCTCCTGTGTCTCTGAGCCTCCCTTGCCCAGACTTGCCCTTCCCCTTCTACCTCCCCCGTGCCCATTCCCTCCTGACTTGACGGAAACTGACAGGAGGAATCCTAACAGCTCCCTTTGGAGAAAAGCTGATCTCAGCTGCAGAGGAACCAGCAATTGTTCCCAGATTTTCTCCGGGACCCCGATGGGTTCGCAAAGAAATTTAACTGTTAGAACATGTAATCCTGGCTATTCTAACCTATTCCAATTAATATACCTCCCGGTTTCTGGAAGCAAAAGCAACAGAAATACTAAATGAGGTTTGTAGGAAAACTCCTGTAGAGACATCTGTCCACCTTAAGGATTATAGGAAACTGAAATGGGGTTTAGGGGGAAAAAAAACCCAGAAACAAGCATAGGGCTGCTCTGAGGACAAGGGGGAGTATTTCCCTCTCTCCTTATGAACAGTTTAGGAGAAATTAAAATTACCATTTAAAAAGGGGGGAGCCCGGCCAGTGTGGCTCAGCAGTTGAGCACCGACCTAGGACCCAGGAGATTGTGGTTCGATGTCCGGTCAGAGCACAGGCCCAGGTTTCAGGCTCGATCCCCAGCGGGGCGCGTGCAGGAGGCAGCCGATCAATGGCTCTCTCATCATGGATGTTTCTCTCCCTCCCCCTCTCCCTTCCTCTCTCTGAAATCAATAAAGATATTTAAAAATAAATAAAATTAAATAAAAAGGGGGAAAGCCCCAGCTGGTTTGGCTCAGTGGTTAGTGTCAGCTTGAGGACTGAGGGGTCCCAGGTTCGATTTCCGACAAAGGCACTTACCTCGGTTGCAGGCTCGACCCCCAGCCCCTGCCGGGGCGAGTGAGGGAGGCGACCCCTCGATGCATCTCTCTCACGTCGATGTGTTGGGTTTGTTTTCTCTCTCTTTCTCCCTTCCAGTCTCTCTGAAAAGCAATGGAAAAAATATCCTCAGGTGAGAGTTAAAAATAAATGAATGAGTAAAAAATAAAAGGGGGCTGATAATTCCACGTAAAAGCCCTTATAATTTTTCTACCCTTCCAGGAAAGAAACCAAGTGGAAAAATATGGAGCTTGGTGCAAGATCTCAGGACTATAAATAAGGTGATTACCCCCAGACATCCTGTGGTTCCTAATCCTAATACCTAATCCTAGGCCATTCCTGCGCCTGCCAGTATTTGTCAGTGACAGATGCACGCGGTGCCTTGACCAGCGCTCCAGGAGCGAAAGACGGCCGATCACTCTCTGCTCTCACCTGCGACTACAAGTTTACCCGGACAGCCATGCCCCAGGGAGGTACAGCGTCCCACCTGTTGTCTTAGGTACTGAAAGCTGATGTAAATGATGTTAAAATTCTTAGCTATCCCACTCTAATCCTACATGTGGGTGACTTAGTTTTATGCTCTAGATACTTTACTAGACACCCCAAAGCACACAATATACCTATTACAGCAGCTAGCCGTGGAGGGACACGGATACCCAAGAACAAGCTCTGACTCTGTCCACCGCAGGTGAGATACGTCGGTCATCTAACATCTAGAGATGGGCTGCTGACTCACCCCGAAAGACTCAGAGGAACCCTCTCTTTTCCTCTTAAAAAAACAAAAAACAAAACACACACACACACAAAACCAGAAGAACACAGCTCAGAGGATTCCTGGGTTTGAATGAATATTGTCACCGTCAGGTTACCAGGCTCCAAATTTTTCATTAACGGCCCAGCCTCTATATGTCTTATTAAAATCAAACCGACCTGACCCAGTCCAGTGGAACCCAGAAGGGAAACGAGCTATACAGTCACTAAAGAATGATCTAAAGCTTCCATTCCGGGAACCCCTTCATTACAGAAATTTTAACTAAAAAAAGTATAGATAATTACTCATAGACCTAGAGGCTGTCATGGTGAGTGACTGGACCCGGTAGCCAGAGGGCTCGCTCTCTGCGAGAGGACAGGCCGTGCGAACAGAAAACATACTTATGGGCTCTCCTCTGTTTGTGTTTCTCATTCTATTAAACCCCCACGAAATTCTCCCCCGTGAGACACGCCTGCCGGCTGACTGCCTCTTGCCAGCTGCACCTGATTCCACTTAAACGCGACCTACCAGTTGTCTGCGGAGGAGGACACCGATTGCGTTGCGTTTCGCCTGCTGACCACCTGACTCCCGGGAGCGGTTGGCAGGCGAGCCCTTGCTAACTCTGGTTTTACAGACGGGTCTTTAAAGGATCAGCAGGAATGTCACTGAGCTGGAAAAGCAGGACCTTCCGTGGGGGCGGGCACACCTGAAGGCTCTCGTTTACCCGAATAAAATCTGCCCCACAAGCCTAATTGTTCTCACTCGGGCTTGTCAACCGGCCGAAGACCAAGCAGCCGGTGTTGACGCCGACAGTGGCTGTGCCCTTGGCGTCGCTCGCGGCCTCAGGAGGCTGGGAAAGCGGCGGGCGTCTTCACTCTGCAAGGCGGCCGCAAAGAACGGACAGTGGGCTGCGGAATTATTAGGTGCCCCATGGACATGAACACGGTGGGCAAGTGTCAGAGTTCAAGGCCACTAAAGCCACCGTGGAAGCAGCTGATGCGGGTGCAACTAGACCTGTGTTTCCGTCCCCCAGGCAAACGGACGGAGGTGCCACATATCTAAGGCCTTACGGCTCTCAGAGGTGACCGACGCTGTTGCTGCCCAAACTAGAGACACATCCCCAGATAGAGAGAAACATTCAACCGACGGGCGATGGATCTGTCGTCTGTCGTCAACGTTTGGGTGACAACCCAAATGTTGAGGTTAAAAAAACCCCACAAACACCAAAAAGCCCTGGCCATATCTGAACAAAGCAATTTTTTTCCCAGCTATTTCTTTCTAAATGAGTCAATTTGATGGAAGTTAATAAATATCTAGATATGGTGAAATAGCGTGAAGCACTAATAATATTGCTTGCTGGGCAAGCCGTGGGTTCGCCGCTTTCGGCTTCTGGGGGGCCTGGGACGCGCATCCGGGGTTGATAGGACGCCTGAGCTCTGTCAGAGGCGCGTCTCGCGGCCGCGCATTTGTGCACCGAAAGGTCGCTGGTTCGATTCCCGGGCAGGGCACATGCCCGGGTTTTGGGGTCCGTCCCCGGTCGGGGTGCATGCAGGAGGCGGCCCATCGATGGTTCCCTCTCACATCGAAGTTTCTCTCTCTTTCTCTCTCTCTCTCCTTAACTCTCTCTCTAAAAATCAATAAAAACATTTAAAAAAATTAAGAAATTATATCGTTTTCATACTAGAAGATACAAAGTACGGAGATGCGTTTTTAAGGAAAAAGGAAGAAAGATGGCATTACTAGGGTGGCCTCTTTTATTGGCCTAAAAAGATTAAATACTTATCTAAATTAAGCAAAATCTCGTAGCCTGGACAAAATATTTAATATTAAAACTGTTTTAACTTTGATTGATGGCTTTTGAAGTTATTACGGTGAAAAATGTGTTTATTTTACCTGGATTTGCAAGATTTATGTCATACTCTTGCGGTTAAGCTTGTCTGACAGCCTTCTGGGGGTTTAAGTTTTACGAGACTTTTTAAACCGAGAGATGACTGTGGGTTATTTCGACGGGCCCTGGAATATCAAGAATCTATTCTCTCTCCTTATAAAATAAAAGCCTTTAAAAACTAATTAGGCCTATTTAATACACTTGAAATTACATGGGAGCTTTCCCTAATAATAATGATGACTATATTCTGTTTGTATACACCTATTTTTATTAAAATGGATGCTCTAGGGGCTTCAGCCTGCCCTAGAGGGGGACTTGCAAAGATTCAGAGCCAAGCGCAAACAAAGGGCACCCAGGGGTAACAGGTGTCCTGCCAGTGACACCGGACAAGCCCAGAGTGATGGTTCCCCGTGGGGGTGTCGGGCAGTAGTTCTCGGGGTGTCTGTGGTCCCCACATCGGGAGCTTATGAATTGTTTCCAGTGTTGAATGCACACTTCTGATAAGCCATGTGCAACATTTTACAATCTAGCATATTATTTGTTCTTTACATATTGAAATTGTGTATCCAATCTAAATATATATATATGTAGACTTTATATCCTCTGTGTCATTTTACAGTAATTATTAGTTACCAAGAAATCGTCTTGGAATGTGACATCTTCCCGAAAAGCTAAGTTGTTTTGATCAAATCATAACCAAACCTCTAACTTTGCCACTTTAAGTTTTATAACTCGGAGGCAGTGATTGCTTTAGTCCGATGCGTTTGCCAATACGCTACATCGTTTGAAAGCTCCATGAAAAGGGCTCTGACTTACTCTAAGCGACAGGTTTCCAAGCAGGTTATATCTTTGAACTGGATGAAGGTTTATAGAATCTAAGGAATAACCGGATTCATGAAAATACGGTCAAATCATAAGAATACACAAGAAAAATTGGGTGTGGGGCTAAATGAACTGGCTCAGCGGCTGAGCGTCGACCTAGGATCCAGGAGATCGAGGGTTCGATTCCCGGTGGAGGCACAGGCCCGGGTCGCGGGCTCCTCGGTGCCCAGCAGGGGGCGAGCAGGAGGCAGCCGGTCCATGACTCTCTCATTGATGTTTCTCTCTCTCTCCCTCTCTCTGAAATCAATAGATATATAAAAAATATATATAGATTGCTGATTTTTAAATTTTTTTGTTTTCCAAATATGAGGAAAAACTAAAAGCATTCTACATTAGTACCAAGGGGTCATCAACCAGCACACAGGGACTGATAGATTAGTAACATTCACTTCGCGTGTGCTCTCGGGACACTGAGACGTCAAAGACCACGACTTACAACCGGGAGATTTGTGTCCATTGGGAAAGGCAGTGACTAAAGGACTCTCTCTAACAGCGTTGGAAGGGACCTTACCTTCCCAGGCGCCCAACCGCGAGGGGACACCCGCCTCCGTCTGCGGTGGAGATCAGAGACTTTTCATGGATGAAAAACCCAGACGTCAGAAACAGGCGGCCATCCCGAGACACTGACAAGGCCTGCATACCTACAAACGAATATTAGTACTAATATTAGTAATAATAATAATTATGATTATACTGGCTCCTTAGGCTTTTCTCAAACCTCGTGTATAAGCCCACTGTTACAATCGCGGAAGGTGCGTCAGATAACTTCTGTATCGTCAACAATGCTCTTTTTTTATGACTCTTGAAATTTAGAAGAAATGCTGTTGCAGAACGTTCGTGGGAAGCCCTGGCCAGTTTGGCTCAGTGGTTAGAGCGCTGGCCCACCGGCTGGAGGGCCAGGGGTTCAATCCCGGGGAAGAGCACCGACCTCGTTTGCAGGCTTGATCCCGGCCCTGGTTGGGGCGCTCGCTCGCTCGCTCTGCCCCCCTTCTACTGTCTCTGAAAGAGCAATGGAAAACATATCCTCAGATGAGCCTTTAAAACAAAGAGTGTGAAAGAAATATTAAGAAAGGAATTTTACATATAAATGTCTAACTGTGGAAATGCGCTCACTGTCACCCTAACCCAACAAGGACCACTAACGACAGTAACTCAGACAGAAGCCGCGATGGCGAGAGAAACAGGACCCCTCCAGTTGCACACCCAGCGGGAATCGAGCCAATAGCAGGGCCGGAGTGTTCCCAGTGGGAGGTAGNAGCCGCGATGGCGAAAGAAACAGGACCCTCTGTAACTGCCGCTGGGCGGCCGGGGATTCGCTCAGGAAACTCGTCCTGCCCTGTCCTCCTGGCCTCTGAAAGGTCGCACGATCGTGGTCATCTGCGGCGCCGCGTTCTTCTTACAGCCTCCAGTTGCACACCCAGCGGGAATCGAGCCAATAGCAGGGCCGGAGTGTTCCCAGTGGGAGGTAGGTGGGCCACGGTCAAGAGAAGCCCACCTCAGGGTTGGTTATAAACACCGAAAGATCTATGTCATGCTCTCGGACTCTGAACGAATGTTGTACCAGATGCAAAATATAGAAAAGTAAGGCAGGCAATGCAGCCTGGGCCGTGAGGGCTGACAGGTTAGAAACGATCCGATCCGGAGGCTTTCTCTGTATCTTGATTGAAAAATATATTTTTATTGATTTCAGAGAGAGGAAGGGAGAGGGAGAGAGAGAGAGAGAAACATCAGTGATGAGAGAGTCATTGGTCGGCCGCCTCCTGGGATCGAGCCCGTGACCCAGGCCTGTGCCCTGAGCGGGAGTCGAACCGCGATCTCTTGGATCCTAGGTCGACGTCAACCCCTGAGCCACGCCGGCCGGGCTGGAGTGTTTTTCTTAATAACGGCCCATAAGACCTGACTGCCCCCCATCTACCTGCCTTTCGCTTTGGAAACAGAAAAAAAAATTGGCCTTGACGTCCGTCCAGGGTTACGGTCTTGCCCCACCCCCGACGGTCCATCGGCCAGCAGGACAAACGCTAGGAATGCGCCTTCCTAGCGCCGTGGGACCCAACCCAAAGGGTGGTCATCAGCGCGTCCTTTGGATTGATTTACGGCCAAAAGGGGGCTGTGTGGGCCTAAAGGGGCCACACGCCAACCTGAGGAGCTCAGGGGGGCCTGCGGGGCGGCCTTGCAAACTCGGAGGCCCGAAGTCAACGCGAAGGATGGTCTGAAATGAAAACTGTTTCTCTAAAAGCAGTTTATGGTGGGTCGTCCTGTCCTAGGCCGGGATCTTCCCTGACAGAGGGCAAGTTTCCCCGTAACTAAATGTTACACAGGCCAGGTACAGAAACGCGGGTACGGACTCCCCAGGGCAGAAAGGCCCGGATGCCTAGGAAGGGGCGAAACTGGGGAAACAAGAACCTTGTCCCCCGGGGAACCTTTCCTCACCCAGAATATCGCTGGTCATGTGGTTTAGACCCCTGAGCGTTTCCTCCCTAAAGATAACATTAGGCCTCGGTTGTATTTCAGCTCCAGGCCCAGAAAAGCCGCAAAACCAGACCAGTGGCTCCGTGGCTGCCTCAGGACCAGCTACGTAGACTAAGGACCCCCTGTCCTGGGGCTGACCCATCAGTGGAGGCCACGACCCCGAAAGAGCACCTGGAAAGATGATGAATATTCTACGGAGATTCTCCCCTGACACCTCCCCAAAGATTCCCACCTGCGAGAGAGAGAGAAATACGCTCAGGAAAAGGACCCAGGGCCCCCGCCCCCACCAGGGGAGCACGCCAGTGCCGTCTCCACCCCTCCGAGGGGACCCCACGAGACTTGCAACCAGGGGAGCAATGGGCAGAGGCAGCTCATCCCGGGCTCACCCCCCGAACCCGTCTCCCAGGCCCCCGAACCCGTCTCCCAGGCCCCCTTCTCTCTCTCCGACTGCTCAGCCCAGGCTCTCCTGTTACCTTCCGGGCTCTTTCTTTCTTCACTGTCGCCACTGTATTTTGGCTCCCATCACGGACCCAACTATCCCCCAGGCTCGGCGCTGTGCGGCCCTCCCGTTGGGTATCCCACCCCTCAGCCCCTTTCCTGAAACAAACTCCGTTTTTCTTCATCTGCCGTGTGAGATGGCCGTTCAGCCGGCCCGCAGGCTGCCGCGTCGATAACATGCCTCCGGAATGTCAGGGTCATTTCCTTTTTTCCTTTTTTTTTTTTGGACCCCTCAGGGCACAGCCAAGGCACCAGAGCTGAGACGGCAAATCCTCTGATTGTTACTGAGTGAAATGCTGACTGTTAACTATCCTGTACCCACCCATGTAGACGTATGTGCCACCCTGGTCGGGGCGCCTGGCCGTCGGGCATCATCTCGTGCACCCTGGTCGGGGCGCCGGCCGTCGGGCATCATCTCGTGCACCCTGGTCGGGGCGCCCGGCCGTCGGGCATCATCTCGTGCACCCTGGTCGGGGCGCCCGGCCGTCGGGCATCATCTCGTGCACCCTGGTCGGGGCGCCCGGCCGTCGGGCATCATCTCGTGCACCCTGGTCGGGGCGCCCGGCCGTCGGGCATCATCTCGTGCACCCAAGGGCTGCCAGGCCGCAGCTGGACCCCCAGCGCGGGGCGCGGGAGGCAGCCGACCGATGCTTCTCTCTCGCGTCCATGTGTCTCTCCTTCCCCTTTCCTCTCTCTCTGAAATCAATAACAACACATTTGTTTTTAAAAAAGAAATATGTGCCCCTCATTTTCCTTTCTATCCCACCCCAGGGGTTCCCCCGCTTTGCTTTCTCCCGCCCCCCCGATCTATCACCCGTGACCTCGTGGGACCCGCCTGGATTGTGACGCGGGAAACAAGGTGCAGAACAGCCGCTGTGCGGAGCATCCTCTCAGCCCGCTGAGGTTCTGCTTCCCCGCAATTGCCAACCCCTTGGGCTCCAATAAACTCACAAAAATTCTCCCAGGTTCGAACGTGCCTTACGTGGACACACGTTTAATAAATGCGCGTATGCGTGGTTTTAAAGGAAATTATAGACACAGCGGCGCTTCCGCCCTGAATAAATAGCTCACCGAGCTCAGCGTTTATCTCCAAAAATGGAAGATGATCTCCGTCAAAACCGCCACCCTGTTGTCACATTCAGATAAGCCGATGAGAAGTCCCGAGGCCACGAAAAAACAGCCCATAGTCAATTGTCCCCGTGTCCCCACATGGTTTTTGTTCAAGTCGAGGTGCAATGAAGGCCCCTGCTTGGGTCTCTTTAGTCTCTTCTCATTTAGGAACCCCCCCAGCCCCCCAGC